AATTATAAAAAAAAAAAAAAAAAAAAAAAAAAAAAATATTATTCTACAAATACATATATGTACAATTTTTTTTTTTAAATTAAAATCTTAATAATAAAAGTGTATATGAAGGGTTATGTAAAAAGAAGAAATATTTAAATAAATTTTATAAAAATTTTTTTTTCTTTTTTTTTTTTTTTAAAGGAAAATTAAATAAAATAATATTATGTGAAAAAGATAATAAGTTATATGTACTTAAAAAATACAATAAAAAATGGCTAGAAAAAAAAAGAGATTTTTACAAAAATACTAATAATGAGGTTATTTTAAAATCGAAATTTGATGATTTAAAAACAGAATTAAAGATATTAATTGATATAAATAATGAATATTGTTTAAGTTGTGAAAAAATTATAACAGATTATAATAAGATTTATGTTTTAAATGAATATATGGAAAACGAGAGTATATTAAAATATGATGAATTTTTTTTTGTTTTAGATAAAGAAGAATCATTTTTTATTCCACTAGCTGTTATAAAATGTATAATTAAAAATATTTTAAAATCTTTTCTTTATCTTCATAAAAAAAAAAATATTTGTCATAGAGATATTAAACCATCTAACATTTTATTAAGTAAAAATGGGAAAATTAAATTATGTGATTATGGTGAATCACAATATATGACTGATAAAAAAATCAGAGGAACAAAAGTAATTATAAATAAAATAATAAATTAAATAATGCATAAAAATAAATATGTAATAAAATAATAAATAAAATAATACATAAAAATAAATATGTAATAAAATAATGCATAAAAATATGTAATAAATAAATGAAAAAAGTCAACATAGAAAAACAAAAATGAAAAATTTTTTTTTTTTAAAGGGTACTTATGAATTTATGCCTCCTGAATTTTTTTCTAAAGAATCTTATTATGATGGTGAAAAAGTTGACATATGGAGTTTAGGAATTTGCTTATATGCTTTATTTTATCGTGTTTTACCTTTTAATTCTAAAAATTCATTAATTCAATTATTTAATGATATAGGAAAGGCAGAAATTGAATATCATAAAGATAGGAATTATTTTTTATTTCAAATTACGAAAAAAAAATGTAATTGCTCTAATAATTTTTTAACAAGTGAAGATATTAATTTTTTGAAATGTTTTTTAAAAAAAAATCCAAATGAACGACATACTTCTGAACAAGCATTAGTAAGAGATTAACGAAAAAAAAATATAAATTTTTAATTATTAAAAATTGGCATATATATATATATATATATATTTTTTTTTTTTTTTTTTTTTAATAGAAAAATAATTGGTTGAATGATGTAAATTACAAATATATAGAAGATTATGCTGAAGAAATTTATAAAAGAAAAATAAATCATAGTTTTGAATAAATAGTATTTTTTAATTTTTCAAGCTCATCATTATTTATATAATGTTTTCCTTTTAATTTTCCAAATATATCCACCTACAGAAAATTATAAAAATATAAAAAAGAAAATAATAAAAATTGAAGAGATAATTTTTTTTTTTTTTTTTTTTTTTGTCAATTTTTTCAAGTCTATTACTTTCTTTTTGTTTTTTTCCTTACTTGATTTAAAGAAGGAACATAAAATTTTTTTTTGTGAAGATAACAAAATTTAATATATCTAAATAACAATTTGATTAGTAACTTGTGAGCTTGAGAATATATTCCTTTACAATCTTTATAAATTTTTAAATCTATGTCAAACATATCTTTTTTCTTTTCTTCTAATTCTATTAATTTTTTTTTTAAATTTTCTTTATGTTCTTTAAAAAAAGAGAATAGTATACTTAGAGTTCTGCATATATCACATAAAGAACTTCTTATCTTTTTCATTTCAATAAAACAAGCACTTCTATTACTTAAAATGGTACAGTAATATATACTTTTTTCACTTAAAAAAAATAAAATTAATAAAATGAAATGGGTATTTAATAAGAAAATATATATATATATATAATTATTATAAATATTAAACAAATATAGAATTTCTTAAAAATGAAACGTTTATTCATTCTTTTGTTAATTAAATAATATTATAATGTATTTAATATCTTTTTAAAAAGTAAAATTTTATCTTTTTTATTTTATTTTATTTTTATTTTTTTCTTACTTTTGATAATTATGTATTATATCATTATATATTTCAGATGCCGTATAAAATTTTTTTTGTGAAAATAAGATATCAGCTTTATTTTTCAAAGATTCTATATCATATTTGTCATAAGAGTTTTTTATCTTTGATTCTTTTTGTATATGAATAGCTAGTGGGAAAATTTCTGAAAAAAAATTATGGAATGTATTCAAAGAAACACAGATATCATCATAAATAGAACTGGTATCTAATATATATTTGTCTGAAATATCATATTTCTTTTTGTTATTATCTACTATTTTTTTGTCTTCTTTTTTTTTAAAGTCATACACTTCTTCAATTAAAAAATTATTTTTATATTGTTCTTTCTCAAATTTTATATTTTTTTCTATCTCTTTATTTTTTGAAATGTTAAAAAATAAAAATTTATCTTCATTTTTTTCACCAAAATCTATTAGCTCATTGCTTTTTTTAATTTCATTTTTTTTTATTTCTAATTTATTACTAATTTTGTTTTTCAAATTTTCCTTTTTAGAAAATTTTTTATTTTCCTCTTTAAATCTGGGATCTTCAATGTATTCTTTACTATTCTTATTATTTCTTTTATTATTATATAATTCTAAATATTTTTTATAATTTTCTTCATCATTTAAAGCTTTATAAACTTCACATATTCTGTAATAACTTTTTAAATTATCTTCATCTAGTTTTTGTGCTTTCAAAGCATCTTCTAAACTCTTATCAAAATTTCCAATTCTTTGAAAAAAATAAAAAAATATACAATTTTTTTTTATTCTACTTTTTTTTTTTTTTTTCTCTTTTTTATGTTTTTATTTTATTTTATTTTATTTTTTTTTTTAATACTTAAAATATGCCAGTGATCTATTAGTATATAAAATAGAGCTATGTGGTGCATAATTGATACTTCTAGTATAATGAAAAATTGCTAACTAAAAATGTTTAAAAAAAAATACACATATATATAAATTATTATTTCTAATTAAAACATATTTAGATGCATATATTTTTACCTCATAATCTCCATTTTTAAATAAAATGTTTCCTTGTTCTTTTTCTTCTTCAGATTTCAATAAAAAATCAATATTTTCTTTCATTATAGAAAAAAAAAAAAAAAAAAACAATCATAAAAAAAAAATTCAAATGTAGATACGAATTTAGAAAATTGTAAAAAACAAAATTACATAAAAAAAAAATTAATATTTTTTTTTTTATGGTTTTTGAATAAAATTCACGAAAAATGTCTAATATATAATATTTTTTAATTATGTATTTAATTATAAGTTTATATATTCTATTATACGGATTCTAGATGTATTTTTTAATTAAAATCATTTTTTTTTTTTTTTCTTAATATAACAAAAAAAAAAAAAAAAAAAAAAAAAATTAAAAAAAAAAAAAATTTAAAAAAAAAAAAAAAAAAAAAAAAAAAAAAAAAAAAAAAAAAAATTAAAAATCAATATACTTTAATGTAAAATTAAAAAAAAAATGCAGATGCAAAAAAAAAAAAAAAAAAAAATAAAGATTATTGGAAAGAAAAATGAAAATATAATATATATGAAGATTTTTATTTTTATAAATTAAAAAAAATAAAAAAATAAAAAGTGACACTATAATTCTATTTATACTTTTTTTTTAGAAAAACACTTTTATTATAAATATCTTTTGTAGATAAGATTTTTATTTTTTTTTTTTCTTCATTAACTTTATCATTTAATTTATTTTTATTTTCTTCTGATTCTTTATCTTTTTCATTCCTTTTATTCTCTATTATTTTATCTTCACACATTTCAATATTTTCTAATTCTCTTTCTACTTCTTTATATTCTACTTTTTCATCGTCTTCCTTTAGAAATTCTATGTAATCAGGTTTTAATAAAAAGTTTGAGTTACCTTTTTTTAAGCCTATTTCATTTATTTCTTTTATTAAACTTTGCATATTTTCTTTTAAAATGATATTTTCAGTTTTCTTTAAGGAAAAAAAAAGAAAATAAAATAAAATAATAAAAAATTGGAATTTGAAAAAATATTTTTAATTTTTTGAAATTACAGTTGCTGAAATTTTTGTATCCATATTATTTATTTGCTCTCTTAATTTATGTTCTGATATTTTGAAAATACTTTCTCTATCATTTTTTTTTTTTTCTAAAGAATTCATTATATTATCTGACAAAATGTATAATTAAATTTTGTTTTTTATATATTATTTTCAATAATATTATATACATATATATATACATATATATATATAAATAATTAAGTTTATTTATTTCTTACTTATATCAGAAGATAAAAATTCGCAATTTTGTTTTAAATATTTGACATCCTTAATACTTTCATCTATATCCATTAATAAAAAATTTAAATAATTATTTTTAATTTTATTTTTATAAATATCTCCTTTTTTTTTTTAAAAAAAAAAAAAAAAAAAAAAAAAAAGGAATATATATGTATATATAGAGTAAGATAATTATGTATTTATAAAAATGTCTATTTTAATTACAGTAATATTTTGTTGTAACTCAAAATTTTCAATCATTATTTGATTAAAATCCAAAATGTGTTTTTGAATTATCTTCTTTTTTAAAAAAATATTTTTTTTTGAATCAAAATCATATCCTATAACCTGATGAAAAAAAATATATATTCATATATATATATACAGTTGTAATATTTTTTTAATTTTTTTAATTTTTTAATTTTTTTTTTTTTTTTTTTTTTTTTTTACATTTTCATATTTTTGTTCTACTAAAACATCAAAATTCATACATTCATGAATGAATTTCTTTTCAAAATTTTTTTTTTTATCTATTAACAAGTCTTGTAATTTTAAAGTGTTGTTATACTTCTATAAAACAAAGAAAAACAATATAAATAAAATACATATATATATATATATATATATACATGTTATTAATAGATATATTTTTTATTTTTTTTTTTTTTTTTACTTCTGTTATAAGTTTTTTCTTTTCCTGTAGTAATTCATTATCAATCTAAAAAAAATAAAAACAATTTTTTTTTAAATGTCTATATTAAAATTCTATTTTGTTAAATAAATTATATGTAGACTTATATTTCTTTATTATTTATATTTTTTTTTTTTTTTTTTTTATTTTTATATGCAAATGTGATAATTCATATTTATTTTTACTTCTATTAAATTCATATTATTTATTAAATTGCAAAGATCTCTTAAAAGAATTTCAACTTTTTTTTGTTTCTTTTCTGCATTTTCTAATATTTTAAATTTATTTTCTTCATTTTTTAAAATGGCATATATTGAAATACAATAAAATTCGTGTAACATTATTAGTTTATGTATGTTGTATCTATAAAAAAAAAAAAATAAAATAAAATAAAATAAAATAATTAATTAGACAACAAGACTCTTTTCAATTAAACTTATTAATATTTTTGTTACTTTTTTTTTTGTAATAATTTTAATTTTTTGTTAAATTCCTCACATTGTTCATTTATTTGATAACTAAAATAAAAAAATTAAAAATAAGAAATAAAATAAAATATTAATAAAATATTAATAAAACATTAATAAAATAAATAAATTAACATGTAATTTTTTATATCTATAATTTTATTCCTAATATCATTTTTTTTTTTTTGATATATATCTAAATTTTCCGAGTCTATATTTTCACAATTTTGATCTTTTTGATCATTTTCATTCTTTTCATTCTTTTCATTATTTTTGTTATTTTTTATAATATCTCTAAAAAAGTAAAAAAAGAAATAATAATAATAATAATTATGAAAAATCGTTAGAATAATAAAATATAATAATATATATATATATATAACTTTTCGGTAGTTTTGTTTATTTCTTTATTTAAGTTAAAAAATTCATTATATTTTTTTCCATATAAATTATTATCTTCATTTTCGTCTAATATTGAATTATATTTATTTTCATTTTCAATTTTCAATTTATTCAATTGTATTTTTAAAAAAATTTCTTCATCATATATATTCGAAGTATTTACAACTTCATTTTTTTCTTTTTCTATATAATCTTTTTTAAATAAATTTATATCAATCATATGAGAAAAAGATTTTGTCATATATTTTTCTATTTCTTCTAGACACAATTTAAGTTTATTTGATAAAAAATTTATTTCTTTTAAGTAATTTTTTTTTTCTTCTTTTAAATTTAAAAAATTTGTATGAAATTTTTTTCTTTGCTGTTAGATATATTAAAAAAAAGAAAAATTCATTAAAATGTCATTATTATAAAATATTTAAAATGGGTATAAAATATATATATATAAAACCATAAAAAATAACTGTAATTACAATATAAAGTGTATCTTTGAAGTAAAAATATAAATAAAATATTTACTTGATTCATTAATATTTGCAAAACATAACATTGAATCCTTTTTCTAGAATTTGTAAATAATTCATAAGGATAATATAATAAATAATTCCATTGAACATTGTCTATATCGTTATCTGATATATTTGGATTAAATAAATTTGAATATAAAAAATTCAAATTAATATTAGTACATGGATAATAATGTATAAAAAAGATAGAAGAAAAATCTTCTAAATATCGATCAATATAATCTTTTTGTGTTTTCAAGAAAAATAAGACATTATTTTTTTCAACATTTTGTAAAAAATGTTGCTCTTTTATTTGAAGAAATCTTAAAAATTTTATTTTATTTTTATATATAAAACAACTATCAGGATTTTTTTTTTTATATACATTTGCAATATATGTTTTTTTGTTAAAACCATACAGGATATCTATTTCATTTAATATATTACATTTATATTCTAATTTTTTTATAATTTTTTCTTTTTCTTTTTTTTGTTTTTCAAACGTTCTTTTGATTTTTTCAAATTCGTTGATAAGTATTTCTGACTCGTTAATATGCTTTTTATCAAAAAAAAATATGCTTCTTTCTAATTTTACACAGGTATTTTTGTTATTTTCATTAATTAATTCCTTTAGTTGATTTCTTAAATGATTAACTTGTTCTTTTTCTTCTCTTTCTTTCTTGTTTAATTCATACAAATAGAATTTATTTTTATAATTTTTTAAACAAGATGAAAAGGAAAAATCATAATTATTTTCATTGAGAAATGTAAATATAATAGATTCACTATCAAAAAAAAAATTGGTTGTATTTGATGAAATTTTATTTTCTAATTTTTCTTTTTTAATTTTTTCTTTGTTACTTTCTGGTGATATTATATCAAAAAAAAATTTTTTTTTCTTATTATGCATTTCTTTTCTACATAAAGTGGCATTAATTTTAAAAAAATTTATATTGAAATTTTTTAGACAAAAATTTATATCATTAGAACAGATAAATGATTCATTTAATTCATTTAAAGAAAAAAATATTTTTTCATCATAATTTTTTGTAAAAACATTATTAAAGTATGTAGTTATAAAATTATCATTTAAAATAATTCTACTGTTCTCATTTTTTTTTTCATTTTCATCTTCTACTTTATTTATATCTCTAACAAATACATTTTCTTTTAAATGAAGATACTTTTTTTTTTTATTTAAAAATAAGTAATAGTTTTTATTTTTTATTTTTATTTGATAAAAGGAATTTATTTTTTCTAAGTAGGGTTGAAAACTCATATTAATTTGTGACATTATTTCAAAAGGATGAGAAAAGCAATTAAAAGAAAAAGTTATTAAAACATTTCCTTTAGTAATGATGTCTATATAACATAAATTTTTTTCTACTATTCTTTCATTAATAAATTGTAATTTTTCATTATTTATATTTAAATGAAATGATATCTCCTCTAATTCTAAAGTGTATATACTTATTTCTATCTTTTTTTTATTTTCTAAAAGGTTGTTATTTCTTTTCTTCTTTTTTCTTCTTTTTAAAAAAAAATTTTCAATTGTATTTTCTATATCGTTTTTAATCACACGAATACTTTCCTTATGATATCCACTTTTGTTTTTTATTCTGTATACAAAATTTTCTTTATTTTCAATTAGAATAAAATTATTATCTTTAGTATTATTTGTATAATCAGAAAAAATATATTTTATATAAAAAAAAAATATGTTAAAAAAATAATCAATTATAATTAAATAATTTCCTATTATCTTTCCATAAACAATATTTTTTCGTCTAATAGGACAAAAAAAAATATTTATTTTATTTGTTTTATTTAAATCTTCTTTATCTGTTAATTCTATAAAAAAAAAATAAAAGTTTCTTAAACTTTCATCTGCTACTAGAAAACAAAAATAATCATGTTGATCATTTTTATATATAGAAAAACTCGGTAGAAAATAAGTTAGTTTATCTTTTTTTTTAATACTTAAACCCTCTTCTATATTTCTAAAGAATTTTTTTATATTAATTTTATAAATAAAGTAAATAAATAGCTTTTCGTGTGGCAAAGAATAAATCAAAAAAAAATAAATAAAGTAATTTCCTATTTTAAAATATCCATTATGAATATATTCATTTAATTTATTAAAGAAACTAAATTCAATGTGTTTATTTAAAAGGGCCTTTTTCTTAAAAAAATTTTCTAGTTTATTATATAACAAAATTTTATGATTGCTCATATTAATAAAATAAAATGAACCATCAATTAAGGATAAAAATATGCAAATATTTCCTTCTAAAATTGAAAAACAATTAAATGATTTAATTTTCTTATTTGTACATATAATATTTAATTCATTATTTTTTAAAGAGTAATTTTTTAATATATATAGATTATCTAAAGTATATATGTCAGAATTTTTTATTTTTATATCAATAATTTTACTTAATGAATAATATGAACAAAAATAAAAGTTAGACGATTGTTGTAAATTAAAATTGTTTTCATCGAAATTTTTAGTATAATATAATAAACCACTATCTAATAAAATAAATAAATAATTTAAAAAAATATAAAAACTATTAATTTCATTTACTAAATATTTCTGTAAATTGATTATTGAAATAACATCAAGCAAATCAATTACCTTTTCTTCATCGTAATTAAAATTTGAAAATTTTTTTTTTTTTTTTTTTTTTAACCTATTAAAATCAAAGATACTTTTATTATTATTGCTATCATAATTACATTCTGCTAATAAATCTGAATTAAAGTAAGCATTATATACTCTCAGAGTGTTACTACTCATTGTTCTTTTAAAATTATTTGTTTTTTTATCTTCTGCTGTTTTTAATAAATTGCAATTTTTTGAATTTAATTTATTTTCTAATTCGTTTATTTCATTTAGGATATTGTTAAAAGTATTTTTATATGTGTTAGAAATATCATTCTTATAATTTTTACCTCTAGTATTAATATCCTTATTTTTAAATTCTTTGAGTTTGTTTTTACTATTATTTGTATTTATATCTAATGTTACTAAATCTAGTTCTCCATCATTTTTATTGTGTATTAAATTATTATTATGAATAGAGCATTTTAAGTTATTTATATTTTTCTTTTTAATTTTATTTTTTTTAAATAAGCATTTAACATTTATATAATTTCCTTCAATAGAATTAACCTACAAAGTAAAATATTATATTTGTAATTTTTAAAAAAAAGAAAAAGAAGTTTTACATTAATCTAATTACTTTTGATCATTTTATGTAAATATTTTCTTTTTTAACATATATAAAAAAGTTTTAACTTTTTGACTTAAATTTTTTTTATATACATGAAATTACTTTTACATATTCTAACTATTTTTTAAAAATATAAATTACACTTTTTTTTTTTTTTTTTTTTTTTTTTTTAAATACACTTGTTTCATATATATTTTTCTTATTAAAAGAATAATCTAATTTGTTATCTTTTATGTTGAATATTTATGTTAATGTGTTACTTTTTTAAAAATATGAAGGGGAATTAAGTCATAATTTATTTTAAAACATATAATTTCTCTTGTTTTAAATGAGATAAATAAGTAATTTTGTTTATAAAATAAGGAAGTTATTTTGGAGTAATTATTAAAACATTTAAAACATAGAAAGTGTCTAGAATTATTTGAAAAATTTAAAAAAAGCAATTTATTGTTCTCAAAACATATAATAAATATATAGAAATCTATCCATATTGTTGTGATAATTGAATTATTAAAAATCAATTCTTTTGAAGCATTTACATTTTTTAAATTAACAGAATTTTTATTCAGAATACTATATACAATACTTTTTTTTGACAAAAAAATAATTTTGCTTTCATCATAAGGACACAATGCTATTTTTTTTAAATTAATAGATGCATTTGGAATGAAAACTTTTTTTAAAGATACTTCCTTTTTATTTAATAATTCAAATATATAAACAAAATATTCTTTGTTATTATATTTTAAATTTGAATTATTAAAAATATTAACATTCATATAATTATTTGTGTTACTATAATTTCCTGTACTTTCTTTTTCCTCATTTTCATTGTTATTTATTAAATTATCTTCTTTGCTATTTAATTTGATCTCGTTAGTAATTCTCTTATCTTTTTCATTTTTTTCTCTTTTTAATAAAACAAAAATATTATCATTTGTTAATATTATATCTTTTATGGATGATTTTATTTCTTTTGTGAAATTTATATCAAAAGTATTTAAGTCATCAGTATCAAAAGTAATAAAATATAGTATATTAATAAAATTCTTATTTATCACTAATACTAACGAATGATTTTGTTTATTACAAAAAAAATTCTTTATATGAAATGTATGATTTACTTTTTCATCTAAAGTATTTATTAACTTTATTTTTATTTCTTTTTTTAAATTTTCTGAATTATTGGATTCACAAAGAACTTCTTTAAAGTTGTCGTTAGAAATGATACACAAATATTTTTTCTCATTTTTTATTAAATCTAGAAAACATATGTAATTATCGATTAAAAAACAAAAAACATTGTTGCTTATGAATTGAAAACGACCTTCCAAATTATATTGCATGGTTGTTTAAAATAAAAATAAACTTTTATAATCAATTGATCAAAACTATTAAAAAAAAAAAAAAAAAAAAAAAAAAAAGGTAAATAATTGAATTATTAAATAATTAATTTAATAAATTTGAGTAAAACTATAATTCTAAGTTTTACTAAATGAAAAGAAAATGTAGACTAAATTTATATATATATATATTTAAAAAAAAAAAAAAATTTTTTTTTATTTGTGTCTTATATATTTTTTAATAGGAGTTTATATTAAAAAAAAAAAAAAAAAAAAGACATTATTAAATATCATTTTTATCTCTTTAAAAGTTTAAATTGATTTTTAAATCTTTTATGTTATAATAATTTAAAAAAATTATTCATTTTTACATTGAAAAATATTAATGTAAATTGTTTGAAAAAATAATAGATATATTTATTTAGGTTTATCTATTTTATTTGTAGCTCAAAAACAATTATTTGTCGTTTTTTTTTTTTTTTTTTTTTTTTTTTTTTTTTTTCCTTTTTATAAATAACATTTAAAGATAAATATTGTAAAAAGTAATAACTTTTTAAAAATACTTTTAAAAAAATTTAAAGCTTTAATTTTTTTTTTTTTTTTTTTTTTATTTTACTACATCGATTTAAGTATAAAGGTTATTTATTAATTATTTACGATATTTTTATATTTTGTTTATTTTATTTTTAATTTTTGTTAATAACTTTGTTATAAAAACGACAATTTGTTATGTTTCTAGCGTTTAATACTAAATTTTAAAGCTTTTTTATTTTTTTAAAATTATAATAATAATAATAATTTTTTTTATTAATTTTATAATTTTGTTATATATAATTTTTAATAAAATTATTATTTTCTCCTTATAAATAGCAAATTTTTTTTTTTTTTTTATTCATTTTTTTTTAATATATATATATATATTTTTTTTCTATTATATATCACTATGCATTTTTATTTTATTCAGAATATTTTATAAACCATTTTTTTTTTTTTTAATATCTATTTAGCTAAACGTGGTTTTTTTCTTTGATTTTCTTATAAATTATATAAAACTTAAAAAAAGAAAAGAAAAAAGTGAATTAAAATATTATAGAAATTAAAAATAAAGGACAAAATTTAGCAAAATAATAAATTAATAAGTAAAAAAAAATGTCATTTTTAAGTAGCCCATCTACAAACCATATGATCACTAATTTAACGAAAAGAACAAATGAATTTCAGTCAAAAATAGATCATATATTAAATACTATAAGTACAGAAAGTTTACCATTTCAAAAAAAATCTTTTGTTTGTTGTGTTAATTGTTTTGATACATATAATACTGACTTTGAATCAATTGGGAAATGTGTTAATAACTGTCAAAAGGGAACAGAGCATTTTGTTCAGGTTGTTCAGAATGAAATGCAAAATTTACAAAATAATTTACAATCATGTCAGCAAGTAAGGAAAATAAATATATAAATATATATAAATATTTAATATATATACATATATTTATGTACGTTTTTTTTTTTTTTTTTTTTTTTTTCTTTTTAGTCATGCTTTTATAAGTATTCTCCTAATTATGCTAAAAGTAATGCAAGCATAGACGGACCTACTATAGAAAAAGAAATGGAGTGTTGTGTAGTAAAATGTTTTGATAAACATGAACCTATGTTACCAGAAATATCTGATAGATTACACAAAACATTAAAAGAAGAAATGAAATAAAATAACATATAAAAAAAAAAAAAAAAAAAAATTAATTTTTTGTTAAATTTATTATAATTATATTATTATGTTTTTTTTTTAAGACTTTTATGATTTTCAAATATAGCACATAAATAGTAAATTTAAAGAAGGGTTATATATATATATATATATATATATTATTTTTATTTATAATAATAGAAACTGAATTTAATATTGAAGGAAACGTTGTCTTAATAAAAATAAATATTTTTAAGTTTATAAATGTAAAATAAAAGTTGTAAATCCTATAATTCAGTATTACTGTAAAGTCTTGTTTTTTTTTATAAGAAATTTCACTATTTTTTAAAAGATTAATTAAAAGAATACATTTTTTTATATTAAAAATACTCATTTTCATATATATACATAATGGATCTTTATTAATTTATTTCACTATATCACTTATCTTTTTTTTAAAAATTAATTTCTTTATATATTACATATACATTTTGCATATAAATATAATTTAGTAAGTATATCTGTATATATTATTCATTAAATATAAATACAAAAATTTATCTTTTTTTATATAGTTTTTTTTTTTTTTTTTGAAAGGTGTAAAAAAAAAAAAAAAAAATACAATAGTTATACTTAATAAAATTAACATTTTTAAACATCTTTTTTTTATTTTTATCTTTTCATTATTTTATTACTTATTTTAATAAATTAAAAGAGAAAATATTTTTTAATATGCAAATTTAGAGATACAATGAAATAAGTTATAAATGTAACTTTTTATACCTGCAATATGGTGCTTTAAAAAAAAAAAAAAAATTAAATGAATTTAGTTATACTATATATGTAGATACAGTTGTTAAAATACAAAATATATTGTTTTTCTTTTTTTTAGTGTTTTTTTTTTTTTTTTTTTTTTTTTTTTTTGTATTATATTTAAGATATACTGTATTTAATAAATGAGCTTATTTTATCTATGCAGAAATATTTTTTAAACACTATATATTTTTGAATATATTTTGGTTTGTAAGATTTATAATATCTTTACCTTATATTTACATTTTTAATTTTTGTTTACAAATTATTTTACATAAATTTACTATGTTATATTCTTTTGTTATTTGTATGTATGTTTATTTTCTCTTACTAAAATTAGGCCTCTTCAATTCTTAATCTTTGAAAAAAGTTATTTTTCCTTTTATTTTTTAAACATGTTTCTAAAATATAATTTTTTTTTGAATATGTTTTTACATTTTTGAAATTTTTTTTAAAATTTTCCTTTATTATTAAATTAAACTGTGTATTTATATAAAGCATTTTAAGAATACTAAATACCTCTTTTTTTTTTTTTTTTCGTATTTATAGAATGTTTTTAAACATTTATTTGTTAACACTCTAAATATATATAAATATATATTTGTCTAATTTTTTTTTTTTTTTTTGTGTTAACCTTTTATTTTATTTATATGAAATATCTTATCCTTTATATTAATTTGTTTTTTTTTCTTTTTTATTCATTTTTGTAATATGATACATAACTTTTTTTCTTTTTTGTTTATTTTATTATTTTTTTTATTATGAAAAACACAGAATTTAAGTATGTGTTAAGGAATAGGATAAAAAAAATTTTTGAAAATAATAGCAACTTAAAAGTTTTAGATGATGAATTAATTAAAAAAAATAACAATGAAGATGACGATTCAAAAAAATTTGATAATTTAAAATACGTTAATTCTGATAAAATAGATTTATGTAACAGTAATAGTTATTCTACAAATTATAAGAAAATAATTATTGATGAGGAAGATAATTCTTTTAACTACAATAAAAATTCTATTTTTTTTAACGGTAAAAATTATTTGATAATTGAAAATTACACATCCGTTATATATGAAAATTGTGAAGAAAAAGTAAATATGGTTCTAGCAAATAAAAGTATACCAGAAGGAAGAATAGAAATCCAAATAAATGGAAAGGAATCTTATATAATACCTTGTAGTATTTATAAAAATATATTAAGTTGTTTTTTTCCACAGCTTGAAAAAGGAATATATCATTTATCTTTTTTTATCAATAAAGAAATGATACTTATAAAGTTATTGCGCCCAGGCTTAGAATTAACTGAAAAGTTAAAATTTTTGTCATTGCATGTTATTGAAATAACTGACTTTGGTTATTACCTAAAAAATAAAAATAGGAGAAGTAAAAACTATAACATTAGCATAAATAATAATATATACACAAACAAAGAGCTTATAAAATTGTACAATAGTATTTACAAGAATTATAGAGATATTTATTGTGAGAATAAGAGAAATCCAAAAATTGCAGTAGGTAATAATTATAAACTTCAAAATATCAGTGAATTAAATTTTTATAATTTTCTTAAATGTTATCAGGATGAATTTATTGATCATTCATTTAGAAAAAACAAAAATAAAATTGATGTGAATAATTTAAATTTTGTTTCTCAATTAAATTTAGAAAAAGGAATTCAACAAAGTAGAATACCAATTTTATATAAAAAGTTATTGTATGATAATTGCATATATGAAAATAAAATGATTATCATGCATTTCCACTCAAAATTTTTTGAGTATGATCCCTTTAATGTTATATCGGCTCATATTTTTACAAAAAGTGAATTAAAAGATGGATATACTATTTTTGCGTTTAATTTAATACCTGTATTTTATAAAGAAAATAAGGATTCTTTCTACACTCAGGTAGATGAACAAAAAGACATAGAAAAGCCTAATTTATTTAATCTATTAAGTAATTCACAAAAAAAGGGGGAAAATGAGAATATAAATTATGTTAGTACTTTATTAATGCTTAAGTCAGATGAGACTAATTGTGCAGATGTAAGAATGTGGAATTATATAGATACTATTGAATGTCAAAAAAATAAAATATCAAATAATTTTTATTTAAATAAAAGTAGTTATGAAGATGTTCATTGCCCTATACCTCATGAATTAATTAATAATAAAAACATTTTTAAAAAATATTCTGAAGGACTCAAAATTTCTGAAAAGGTCAGCATCTTTTTTGAAAATTGGAATGATGATATATTGCCTGTACAGAAATTTGTTAATTTATTTGAATATAATTTGCCCTATAAAAAAATAAAAAATTTATCCAATTTTATCAAAAATAAAAATGATGATTTCTTATTATTTAATGATTTTTATCTGAAAAATAATGGAAATAATGAAAAATGTAATTCGATAATATTAGAAGATAAAAATAATTTATCTACTTTAAAAAAATTAACAGCTGACGAAAATAAAAATAATAATGAACTGGAAAAAAATTACTCATTTGATTATCTACTTAATAATTTTGTTTCTTTTGTTCTATTAATTGAAGGAAAAATATATCATAGTGTTATTCCTATAAATAAACTTCTTTTATTATTTATAGTAAACTATTGGATGCATTTTATTGGTGTACAAAAAAAAAAATGTATATAAATAAAATAATTTTTATTTTTTTTCTTAAAATAATATTTCAATTTATAATTATTTCATTTTCATAATTTAGCTCTAAATTATCCCATGGTGATTTATGTTCATTTACTTTCACTTAAATTTCTTTAGATTTAATTAATCTATTAATATTTAATTAATATGTAATCATTTTTTTTTTTTTTTAAATTTATTTTATTAAACAAATTATCTTATCCTTTGACAATAAACATATTTAATAAAAGATATTTATTATAAAAAATTGTTTTAAATTGTATGCAAAAAAAAAAAAAAAAAAATTCAGTTAATATAAAAAGAATAATATATAAATTTTAAAATGTAAAATTATGAAAACATATTTTATTAAATGAAATGCTTTAATGAAATTACTAAAAAGACATAAAAACAATACTGTTAAAAATAAAGTAGTTAAATACTTAATTTATGTATCAATTTTTTATTGATTCATTAAAAGAATTCTTTATGGAATAAAACTATTAAAAATATAATCATATAACTTTATATATATATATATATATATATATATGTTTTTCTTCTAAATTTAAAATAAAGACATAAATATAATTTCAAAAAAAAATGAGAGATTAAAAGATAAAAAAAAAATTATGTATAAATTCATATAAGAATCTATTTTTTCTTAAAGAATTATTAAAAAAAAAAAAAATGTATTCTATTAATGTAGGCAAACACAATTTTACTGTGGTTTATATAAAACTATTTAAAAAAAAAACTTAAAATTTAAATTTTATAATCAAACATAAATAAGAATGCAAATATGCATTTCTATATATAATATTATTAAGTTTTTTTTCTTTTTTAATAGAAATTATTTTGAAAAAAAAGCATAGATAAGTCGTTTAATTCTTCCTGTTCAATTTTATTTTTGGAAGTTAAATAATCTTCTGCTTTTTTTATATTATTTAATTCACATGTAGGAATTAATTCTAATTTATGTCTTTTAACTGCAATTGCAATAATGCAAATGATTGATTTATAAATTATTTTTTTAAAAGGTAAAAGTGGTCTATGAAATAAAAAGGTTCTGCAAATATTTAAAATAATGGACGAAATAGAATTGATATATGCAGGAATATATTGAGAAATGTTGTATAAAAATTCATTTTTTCTTTCTTTTTCCACTTCATTTATTGATTTAGGAATAATAAATTCATTTTTTGTAAAAAAGTGAACAGTATACTTTGAAATATTATTGGTAAATATATCCCATAAAACCACATATAGAGATAGGTCTTCATAAACATTATCTTTATTTGTGGTATATAAATATTTACTATAATTTATTTTCAACTTTTTTTTTTCATCATCATTATCATTATCTGAACAAGAATCAAAGTTTACTGCAATATCTTTTTTAAAATTCTTCATATATTCTCCTCTAATTTTTTTTTTTTTTTCCAATAATAAATCCTGCAGATTTATTTCATCAAAATCTTCATCGGTTTCATTCACTTTATCTTCATTTTGTTCGTTCGTTTCATCTTTATTTTGATTGTTCGTTTCATTTTTATTTTGCTTGTTCGTTTCATTCATATTTTTTTCCTTAATTTCATTCATATTTTTTTCCTTAATTTCATTCGTATTTTTTTCCTTAATTTCATTCATATTTTTTTCCTTAATTTCATTAATGTTTTTTTCGTTCATTTCATAGCTTTTTTGACCATTCATTTTATCACTGCCTTTCTCTTCTACTTCATCATAAACTTTTTCATTTACATCATGATAATTTTTTTCATTAATTTCATTATCTTTCTTTTTATTAAATTCATCTTGTTCATTATATTCAATGATTTTCTCATCATAATCTTTTTTATTTTCATTAAAATATTCATACATTTTTGAATTTTCTAGAAAAATTTTATTATGATTTTGATCATCCTTTAAATTTTGGTTATCAATTTCACTTTTAAAAATGCTTTTACAATTTTCATTATAAGTATATGAATTATGTGAAAGTATTTTATCATTATTTTTATTTTCATTTGTTGAATTTAATAATATAATTTTTTTTTCATTCCTCTCTTTAGAGTATTTTAAATTAATTTCATTCATTTTTACTGATGCACAATTTATTAAATCTTGCTTTTCATAATCAAAGCCTATAACTTTTGTTGTATCAAAAATTGATGATTTCATTATATCATCGAATGAATATTTTTTTTTAAGGAATACAAAATTTTTTACTTCTTCATGCTTTTCATTCATATCATTATGTGAATCTTCCTTTTTCATATTTGTTTCAGTATTTTCTGTTTTATTTAAAAAAATTTTTTTTTCTCCATAATTTTCCTCATTTATATTTTCAGTTAAATCTTCATTTGTATTTTCATTTTCTATTTGATGAATTTTATCGGTTATACAATCATTAATATTTTTATTTATTACATTATCCTTTTTGTCAATTGAATTTTTATTTATATATGAATTATTTTTATTATCCAAAACTTCAATTAATTTTTTATTAAAATATTCATTTTTCCTTTCGTTTTCTATATCAGAGCTACTTTTAAATTTATACAAAGAATCATCAACTTCTGTTAACTTATTACAAGACTGATTTTCAAAATTATATATACCTTCTTTAGATTTAAAAAAGGTTTCACTTAAAATGTTAGAAGTTTCTTCTAATTCTTTTATATTAAAATTACTAAATTTTTCATTTTTTTCAACCTCCTTTTTGCTATTCTTTTTGTTAATAGATATTTCATCGACATAATATTCACCAATGCATTCATCTTTATAATATTTGAAAAATTTGATATCTTCATTGAAACTGACTTTTTTAGATTTTTTTTCATTAATTATTTTTATTTTATTTTTTTTATCCATTAATAGCATTTTATCATCTTCCTTTATCTCTTCAATTGATTTATCATATTTTTTTATTTCATCATTTTCAAAATTTTCCGTAATATTATCTTCTTGTATAATTTCTTTTAAACTATTTTTATTATCTTGTGTAATTTCTTTTAAACTATTTTTATTATCTTGTATAATTTCTTTTATGTTATTGTTGTTTTCATCTTCAATACTGTCAATATTTTCTCTTACTACAAATGAAATATGACCTACAGATGATTTTTTGAGCACATCTGATTTTAGACGATTATCTTCTTTATCTGTTTTATTTTCTATTTTTAACATAATTAATTTATTTTTTTGTAATTCTTCGTTTTGAATATATATTTTGTTATTTTGAATATTTACTTTATCAATATTATTAAATAAAAATTTTATATCGTAAAATTTAAAAAAAGGAAAAAATGTTAAAAACATTATGTGAATAAGCTGACATTTTTTTTTACAATCTAAATTTTCTGTAGAATTTTTTGTTTTATTTATTATTTCTTTTAATAAGTGTAAATTAAAATTCATACAATTAGTAGAGCAAAATAAATCATAGTATTCTCTTAAATATATATTCTTATTTTTTGCATCAATTTTATATTTACTTTTATTTATATTATTAAGAAAAGTATTATCACAAGCATAAAAACCACATTTATTATAACTCCTTCTATTTATACAAACATCTATTAAATCACTCTTTGAAAAATATAAAATAATTAAATTATTTAAAAATATTAACAAATTTTTTATAAAGATATTTTTATCTGTCTTTATTTCATTTTCTGTGTTTATATTAATATTTCTACTAGTATAACTATCTTCACAAGGTTTAATAACTCCGTTTATCTTAATATTTTCATTACAATTATCGTTACTCTTTCTATTTTTGTTATCATCTAAGTAGTCCTTTTCATGCTTTTCTTCATCATTATTTATTGTATTTATATAGGAACATATTTCCTCTATATTAAAAAAATCATCAAAATAAAGTTTATTTTTCTTTTTTTTAGGAATATTTATATAAATAAGTAATGTTTCTAATTTTCTATGGTATATTTTTGATAAGCTACTTATTTTTTTCTCTCTCTCAAAATTTAATTTTTCTCTATCTTCACTCATTTTATTAAGTTCAAAAAAAAAAAAAAAAAAAAAAAAAAAATAACAAGAAATTGTTTAAAAGTTTAATTTATAATATACTTGAAGTATTCATAGTATATCTACAATGTTTAAAAAAAAATTAAATTGGTATATATAAATATATATAAATATATATATATATATATGAATATTTATGAAAAAAGAAATATATAAAGTTTTCTTATAAAAAGAAAAAATCTTTTTTTGCCATTTACAAGCATTTATTAAAAAAAAAAAAAAAAAAAAAAAAATTTAATTTTTATATTCACTATTTAATAAGTTTTTTATATTACAATTCAAAATTACAACTTAAAAAAAAAATGTAGAAAGATTAAATTTTTTTTTTACTATTTTAAAAAATTTAAGTATGAAGCACTATTAAAAAAAAAAAAAAAAAAAAAAAAAGAAAATTATTTTTATGCAAATTAAAAAAAATTACAAATTAAAAATTTATATATTTTCATAATAATATAAAAATAAAATAAAAGGAAAAAGGAAATACATTTTTTATTTATTATATATATGTATTTTTATAAAAATATTGAAAAAAATATCTGTGTAACATAAGATTTTCTTTAAATAAAAAAATTGGAAATTTTTTATAATTATATAAAAAATCAATTTATTTTATTCATTTGTTAATTAATTACCAACAATGGTGAGAATAAATATAGAAATAAAAAATTTTCAATTTTCTTGATATTTGATATTTTTTTGTTTTCATATATATATATATATATTATATAGATATATATTATATAGATATAGGTATTTTAGTATTTTTTTCTTTTTTAAATGTGAATTTATTTTTTGTATATATACGTTTATTAATATTTTGATAAGGGCATGCATATTTATATAATAGTTTTATAGAGTAATATTATATATTTAATACTATTATAATATATCTAAGAATATTTTGTTTAAATATATTAATACTAATTATGTATCTATATCTATCTATCTTTCTATATATATATATATATATATTTTTTTTTTTTTTCAGTTTTCTAATAAGTTAGGATTAAGCTCAATTTTAAAAGATGGATATAGGATTGTAAAAAATAACGAGGATACTATTTTAAAAAATATTGAAGCATGTAAAGAAATTAGTAGTATTATTCAAACATCACTTGGTCCTAGATGTATGAACAAATTAATAATAAATCATATCAATAAAAAGATTGTGTCAAGTGATTGTATAACGATATTGAAAGATTTGGAGATAAATCATCCAGTTGTAAATATTTTAAAGAAATTATCAGAAACGATGAATTATGAATATGGTGATTTCACAAATTACGTTTTTACATTAACAACAGAAATGTTAGATAAAGCTAGTTTTTTAATTCAACAAGGTTTTAATATCAATGATATATTAAATGGTTTTTTATTGGGATATAATGAAATAGAAAGATTTTTTCCAGAACTCATTGTATGGAAATTAGAGAATTTTTATGATGAGAAAGAAATTGAAAAAGTTGTGAAGTCAGTTATGATTACTAAACATTTATCAAATAATTATGAATATGTAATTAGTCTGTTATCAAAATGCATATCAACATTGATGCCTGAAAAAATTGAAAAATTTGATGTTGATAATATTAGAATATCTAAATTAAATGGAGGAAATTTGATAGATTCTCAATTTTTGATGGGTATGGTAATACCAAAAGAAACAAATGGAATAATAAAAAAAAAAGAGAATGCTAATGTGATAGTTCTCAATTGTGGTTTAGAAGCAGCAACTACTGAAACAAAAGGAACAGTTTTATTACACAACGCGGAAGAATTATTAAATTTTACTAAAGGAGAAGAACAACAAATGGAGAATATTATAAAAAATATAAAAAAAGAAGGTGTTGATGTTATAATTGTGAATGGTGCTATTTCTGATATAGCTCAACATTTCTGTGATACATATGATATAATGACATTAAAAATAACATCAAAATTTGAAACATTAAGAATATGTAAATTATTAAATGTTTCTTCCTTAGTTCGATTAACTGTACCAAAACCAGAAGAAATTGGTAAAGTGTCATCCATATATGTTTCAGAAATTGCATCAAAAAAAGTTACCATAATTAACTCTAAAAATAAAAAAGTAGGCACAATTATATTAAGAGGAGCAACTTATAATTTACTTGATGAAGTAGAAAGATGTTTACATGATGGTATTAATTCAATCAAAAATGCCATAAAAAATAATTCATTTTTATATGGTGGTGGTTGTGTAGAAATACAACTCTGTGAAAGATTAAAAAAATATGCATCTCAATTAAAAGGTGTTGATAATTATAGCGTAAAGATTTTTGCAGAATCCTTTCAAATAATACCAAAAATATTAGCAACAAATTGTGGGTACAATAGTACTGATGTATTAAATGAACTTATTAACGAACATAATAAAGGCAATACTGAAGCTTGCATAAATATTAATAAAGATTCACATACTACATCAGCTAAAGAAAATGATATTTATGATAATTTTAAATGTAAAAAATACGCAATTGATTTAGCAGTTGATGCTGTTCAAACTATTTTAAAAATTGATCAAATTATTTTAGCTAAACCAGCAGGTGGCCCTAAACCACGAGACAAAAACCCAGATTATGATGACACCTTTTAAAAAATAAGAAAAATCACTAAGGATACGTTTTTTTGAAGTTTATATTCAAATTAATTTTACTTATTTCATATATTTTTAAAAAAAAGGAAATTATTTATTTGTTTAGCTACATAAACAATACATCACAATAAAAAATTCGCAGTATTTTAATTTTATTTATTTTTATGATTTTATAAAAATGTATTTTTTTATTTTATCATTTATTTCATTATTTTATATTTTATTATGTTATATATTATTTTTTTTCTTTTTTTTTTACATTTAAAATAAATACTTTTTTTTTTCAATGGATATATATTATTATTATATGCAATGAACTTTTTTCTTTTTTTATTTAATAAACAAAAAAAAAAAATATATATATATATAATAAATTAATAATATATATTAATATTTCTTATAATGAATTTTTTTTTTATTAACTTTTCAAACTTTCTAAAAAGATTTATGTAATAAAATAACAAAAATAATATATTAATGCGTAGTTCTTTGAACAAAAAATTAAAATTTTTTTCTTTTTATTTTTAAATATAAATAATTTTTTAAAAAAATCAAAAAAAAAAAAAAAAAAAAAGAATGAAAAAATAATAAAAGTAATAAGATATTTACTTATATATATATAAATATGAAAAGAGAAATATGTCTTTTATGTCAACATTTTGGTATAATACGTTTTAATCCCATAATCCTAAAAATAAAATAATAAAAAATAATAATAGTGTATTATTTATTTTATTGCAATAAAAAAAATTTTAATATAATTTATATTACCATGATTTATTACTACTATCCCATAGATTTCTACTAAGATCTACTATTATTTTATTAGTTGTCTTAAAATCATTTGCATTTATGAAATTACATAAATTTATTATATTATCATTTATCTGTTCATTAAATGAACCATTATCCAATTTTTCAAAAAGATCAAACACTTTTGCTGAAACATCTTCTGCCTTCTTTTTTACAGGTTCTTGAGATATATATATATTTAACAAATTATTAATAGATTTTTTAATAGAATCAATATTATTTTTATTCATTAATACTCCATTTTGCTCTTTAGTTGCTGTTTGAATTTTTTTATTTTCGTTTGCAGTTGATTGGGTCGTTGATCCAAGCTAAAGGATAAAAAAAAAAAAAAAAAAAAAGTTGAATAAAATTAATAAAGTAAATATTTTATATATAAAGTAAAAAAAAATTTTTTTTGGGAATACTTGTTGAGTTGTTGTAGGTATTGGCCATGGAATAGGCATCCCTGGGGTTACTGTTAAAGCACCTGCTATTGGAGAGGTTATATTAATCCCTTTAAAAAAAAATACATATATATATACAATATAAAAAATATATGATTTCATTTTTTTTTTTTTTTTTTTTTTTTTTTTCTTATTTACCAGATAAAGATGAAGTATTTGAATTCAATTGAAAATTTACTTTATTTGTATTATCTTGAAAGGAATTTTGAAAAACTTTAGTTTGCATATTATTATTAGGAGGAATAGACGATATGTTATTTGGATCGAATATTTGCTGATCAAAACATTCTCTTTTACTATATTGATTTTCTTGTGGCTGATTTATATTTGGTTGTACTAAATTTGCAGAAGATGAAGTGGGGGGATTATTATTTCTTGGTGGTGCAGTTATATTTTGAAAACGTGAAAAACTAGGTCGATTATTTATTTGGTTTAATGTGTTGGATGGTGGAACTACAGGTGCTACAGAAGGAGCAACGTTAGAAGAAGGCATATTATTTTGTAACGATTTGTTTATATTTGTATAAGATTGATTGAACATAGATGATTGTTGTTTTTCTTGATCTTGTATTTTCTGAGTTGTATTAAAATTTGAGAATTTAGATGGTGGTGAAAATGGGGGAGTATTAACTGGAGATGTATTAGATGGGATATTTGGAGGCATATAGGAAGGAATATTCGTAGGAGATTGTATAGTATTTACATTTGATGAAAATTGTTGATTTGTTGTATTTAAAAATGAAGATCTATTAACTGTATTATTTATGACTTGTGAATTATAGTTATTGGATACTAATTGGTTTTGATTTATATGGGTTGAAGATATTTGTGATACTGAAATTGGTGGTGGTAATCTTTGTAAATTTTGCTGATTATACAATTTTGGTTGATTAGGATTATTTGATAAATTTTGTTTATATTGCTGTGATTGATTATATTGAAAACTTTGATTAAATTGTTGATTTTGATTAAGTTGCTGACCTTGATTATATAAAAGATTTTGATGAATTGTAGGAGATGGTTTGATATCTACTACTTGAAATGGCAAAATAGGTGGCTCAATTTGCTGACCTAATATATGATTGGCACTATTAAATATTCTATCTCTTAATATTAGACTTTCTAAACTTTGATCATCTTGAATTAAACATAAAAAAGTCATTGCTGCTTTTAGTCTTCCTGAATTAGCTAATAATTCAGCATACTGGTTAATCTTTTGATTCATTATAGGATTAAATTGATCATATTTTATTACCATTTTTAACACAGTCATTTTTTCTACTAAATCTTGTAATACATTTAATAATGAAGCTTTTTTTGAAGGCATATTATTCCATATTTCTACAGTTTCTGAAAAATTACATGCACATAAATAACAAATAGATGCAGCTCTAATATCAAATTTTTCATTTTGCAATCTTTTAGCCAATGTTTCACATAAGTTGTTAAAGTTGGGGTTATTTATGGCATATGTGCATAAGATGGATAAAGCTTCTCCCCAAGAAGATAAATCAATATTATTAACTAAAAGATCTAATTTATTATCTAAAATATAATTAATATTTCTTAGAAAATTATCATTTTGTTTATTAATATAAATAGTTTTCGTTTTATGCCATAACTGTTCTCCACCAAAGGATGCTAATAACAAAGCATCTGCCATCCTATCTTTGTGTAAACATAGTTCTACAGCTGTTTCAATATTTCCTACTAATACACATTCTTTTATAATAGATTCAATTCCAGTGTTCCAATCACTATATGTTTTTTTATTATCTAAATTATCATCTCTTGAATTGCTGTTATAATCATCTTCATTTTCTGAATTATTTTGAATACTTAACTTTTCTTTTGATTTTTCATGTTCCGTTTTTTCTCCTAATTCTCTAAAAAATTTTTCTGGATCCACATCAAATGACCCATTCATTTTTTGAATATTATCTCCCATATTAGAAGAAGAAAGATTATTATCGTTCATTAAATTAGATGTACATGTGATGTTATTGTAATCTCTATCATTATTTTCATCCAAATTATTAGATATATCATTGATAGAAATATCTTTATCTAAAATATTTTTAAAAATAAAACCTGGTTGTTTTCCTATATTGTACATAATTTTTTGAATTATATTACTGATATCATATCCTAATTCTTTAACTATTTCTGATTTTTGAGAAGTATATAACAATTGCAAAATCTTCCAGGTTAATTTTTCATGATCATCATCACTTTTCATTATTTTACTTTCACAAAATTCTTTGTAATTTCCATTTGTGATATATTTCTCAAAATTGTCTGCTTCTGATATAAGCTCCATTTCTGTTGGATAGATATGACACTTAATTAAAAACTTATTTTCTAATTTTTTATTTTTCATTTTGTTTATTTCATTATCTTCATTATTATTAATATTTTTGTGTACATTCTGAATTGCAGAAGTATGAAGAGAAGTAGAAGAAGATGAAATGGAGCTATTATTAAAACAACATATTTTTCCTCCAAAGCCAAAACATATACCAGAATCTTTTATATAAAAATTAGGAATATATTTAGTTGTCATTTTATTTCCGTTGTTTATCGAGTTTATCTGTATTGTATCCATATTAGTAGAAGAAGCAAAAATATCAGGAATAAATGGAGACCATTTAGAATATATATTATTAGCAGAATTGTTAATTTCATTGAAAATATCAAAATTATTATTATTTAAATACCAACATTTTGTAATATCCTTACCTGATGATAATAATAAATTAGTATCTATATTACTAAAACAAATATTATTAATTCCTTTAGAATGTCCAATTATTTCTTTAATAGGATAATTTGAATTACGTAAATCCCATAGTTGTAAACAAGGGTTTCTATCATCATCATACGAAACTAAAATTTGAGTTGGTTGATTAGCTAACCAGCATAAAGAAGAAGTTTTAGTTCTACTATGAGGATCTCGAAAACTCACTGCTGATTTTTTTATTTTTAAGTCCCATATAACTGTGTTACCATTATTAGATGAAGTAGCTAAAATATGAGAAACTTTTCTATTCCAATTTAAACAATTGATTTTCTGTAAATTATTTTTATCTAAATAAGGATCATATGAAGTAGGTGAATATATATTTTCAATGTCGGTTATAAATAATTGTCCATCATTTCCACCTGTAGCAATAAGATGATTTTTATGTCTATTAAATTCTAAACAGTTAATAGAATTATCATGAACATTTACTTTATTTATGATAAAATTTTCATAATCTAAATTTTTTTCAAATAAATTTTGTGGATTTAATAAAACAATGTCTCCATTTGTTAATCCACCTACTATGATTCCTTTATTTAATTCATCTTCATTTTCAGTTTCTACAAAATTATTACTATTTATCCATTCAAAACAAGTAACATATTCACTAATATTACTACTTCCATCACTTTCATTTTTTAATGCATCCTCAAAATTTAATTTGTTTACTATTTCTATATTTCTAGAGTCATTGTTTAAATTAATATCTAATAAATATATATAATTATTTATATTATTATTATTAGAATATAACAAATTATGAGAATTAAAACATATCAAATAATTTTTATATTCTTCAAAAGGACACCAATCAAAATTACCATTTATATTTATGCTTTTTAAAGCCATATTATATCCAAAAAAAAAAAAAAAAAAAAAAAAAAAAAGTAAAATAATAAAATTGCAATTTATATAACTTTATCAAAAATTACTCACGTATCAAATTTCTTTTTTCAAATATTTTCAAAAAAAAAAATTTGCATGTTATATATAATAATTTTTCATATGTTTTCTTAATATTTAAACAATTATATTTAGATAAAAATAATAAAATAAATAATTAAATTAATAAAGTATATAAAATAATTAAGTAAAATATGTCAATATATATAAAAAGTAAAAATACATTTAAAGTTAATTATCCGATAAAAATGTGTATTATTTTTTTTTTTCCTAAAAACAAGTTATATGTTTCAAATTATATTTTTTTTTTTTTTTTATTTTTTTTTTTTAAAAATAGTATTATTATATATACTATTTTTTTTTTTTTTTTTTTCTTTTAATATAAATAAAATAGATATATACATATATATTTATATGAAACTTAAAAAATTAAAAAAAAATATTATTCACTCCACATAAAATATATTATTATTTTTTCATATAAATATATATATAAATAAATATATATATATATATTATTATTTAAAAAAAATGAAATAAAACTATTTTGTGTTTATATATATATAATTTTCTAAGTTTAATCAAAATATGAAATATTTCCTCCATGAAATATAATATTATTTAGATAAATTAAAATAACAGTAAGATGATACAATAATTTTTTAGTATATATGCAAGATTTAATATTTATAATAAATATATATATATATAACATGTATTTATATCATTTTAATAATAATATTTTTATATTTTATTAATTTATCAATAATATAAATATATAGAGCGGATGATAAATATTTACAATTATAATTGTACAAATATATTGATAATAAAAAAAATAAAGTACAAAATTTATATATTTTAATTATATAGTAGTATAAATGATTTTATTAGATGAGTTAAAATTTTTTAAAAATAAATATTTATGCATATATAATTATATATTTCTTTCAAAACATTTTATAGATATGAATAATCTATGTGTATTAAGAATAAAATATTTTTCTTTCTTTTTTTTTTTTTTTTTCTATTTAATCAATTTATTTTTTTTTTTTTGTTATACATATTAAAACTTTTTCATTTCATAACAAAAATATTTAAAATAGAAAATGTGCAAAAAAAAAAAAAAAAAAAAAAAAAAAAAATATATATATATATATAAATATATATATATGTATATATATATATATTTAACAAAAAAAAAAAAAAAATTTCCTTTTCTTTTTGTGTAAGAAAAGAAAATTTTTAAATAATATATTAATGAAAATTATTTTCCTTTTTTTATTAAATGCAAACAAAAATATAGAAATATAATTATTTAAATTTAAAATTAACTAGTTCTATAACATTTAAATATATAATTCTACGAATTTATTAAGGAAAATAACTTGTAGAAAAAATTTCATAAGGGATTTCTTAATTTAAATTATTAAAAAAATTAAAAAATATAATCAAATGGTTAAATTTATTAAAAGTAATTTTTTAAAATATAATTTTTTATGTATAAACAAATTAGAAATGTGAAAAATTGAGTTTTAAGAGATCTTTTTGTTTATAGTCATTTATTACAAAAAGCAACTAAAAATCTATTAATAAACATATATTAAAATAAAATGTATAGAAAAACACATGCTAATATATAATATATAATTTTATTTTTTTATATATAATAGTAAAAATGGAAAAAAAAAAAAAAAATGAATAGAAACTATAGAAAAAAAATGTGCCTACATATAATAGATATAAAATAAAATAGTAAAATAAGAATATAGTAGAGAATAGGATAAAAAGAATACTACTATTAATTATTTTAAAATGAAAATTAATTTATTATATAAAATTTATATTTTTTTGTATATCAAATAAAATGAAAGAGTAATAATAATAATAATAATAGTATTAATAATTATAACAATTTTACTTATTTCTAAAAATATAAATTGTGAATGTTTAACTAAGTAAACTCTTTAAAAAATTTAAACTTTTATTTAGTAAACAGAATATATATGAGAAAAAAAAAAAAAAATAAAAAAAAAAAAAAAATAATAAATAAAAAATAAAATTATGTATTAGTTTTACAATTTTTTTTTTTTTTTTTTTTTTTTTTTTTTTTAAATATTTTTTATTTTTTTTTTTTTTTTTTTTTTTTTTTTTTTAA